GATCCTGTCGTGCCACCTTCTCAATGCTCATCTGCTCCTGATTCATGTTTCGAAATTTTTGCGAAATCATCTTATGTTTGGCGAGAGATTCCTGCTGAAATTTTTTTCGACTTGCCGGTTTGTTAAAAGAACGTATGGTTTTTTGCTGAAATTTCGTTGTATTTGTCAGGTGCACATGAGTATCTAGCATGTAAGTATGACATGGTCCCACGGCATTCTGTTGGATGGGATTAATGACTATGTGTCTATGGTATATACAGATTTACACTGTTTACAATTAGTGCGAGGATGGAGGAAGGAGATTGAAGGATACGGTTTTGGTGATGAGTATGGTGAAGAAAGGTTGTGGGTTTCGTCTCAGACTCGCTGCCTAGACTCATCAGTGGGGCTGATGCAGCGGCCCCTTACCCCTGACGCTTGTTTTTTCTAACTTCTCGCTAGGCTGGACGGGTACCCATCTTAGCTGTGTTTGGCACTCTGTTTGCTTAACATCGAATATCGTTAGACTTCGGCGCTAGGCACACAGCCACTTGCGGCTTGTACAAGTCGGTGTTCGAAACTCGTACTCGAGGGTCTCTAGGCCGCTACAGGATCTTCTGATACAGATGTTTTTGAAAAAAATTCAAGAAGAAATATCTGAGGGAAAGGAAGGTGTTTCTCGCTAAAATTTCACACTTTGTATCCGGAGCACATGAGTGTTGAGGAAGTAGCATAACTAGGTCCCATGTCCATCGGTTCTCCGGATACATATGTTTCTCAAAAAAATTCAAGAAGGAATATGTTTACAACTAGAGGGTGTTTCTCTCTGAAGTTTTGAACCATGTATCAGGAGCACATGAGTATCGAGGAAGTAGTACCGCAAGGTCCTTTCGAAGTGGTTTCCTGATACAGAGGCTTTTCCGAAAAGTGTCAAACCATGTATCTTGAGATGAAGAAGGTGTTTCTCTCTTAAATTTCGAACTTTATATCAGGAGGATATGAGTATTGAGGAGGTGACATGACGAGACTGCCCGTAGTGATGTTCTGATGATACTGAGGTTTTTCCTTCAGTTTAGTTTAGAGTATGCAAATTTCTTTCTTTTCTCTATTTCGCGGTCTTTACTATATGGAGAATTATTTAATATGTAAGCTATTATGTTCTTGAGCGTATCACCGTGGGACGACGAGGGTTCTCGCATGGACATCGTGGGATACGTGTATTTAGTTTTAATTAATCACAAGATAGTTAATATCTGTGAATTCATTGTGAGCACCTTCTATATAACGATGCGCTTATTGCTATAATATATGTGAAACAATTTTTATTTTCTCTTTAAGTATGTAAAATATTTTAAACCAATTGTTACTTAGTTATAATTATTTTTAAGTTAAACTTTTATTTGTATTTTAATATATCGTGCTTTGATTTACTCTTCATGCATTCTTTTCTTCAATTTCCTTCGCTATTCGTTTGCATAGTAATAAGCAGTTTTGAACAGTTTGCAATCGTATATCAAAAGCAGTTTTTTTTTTTATTGAATAAATTTGTTTTAAGGTAAATTGAAGATGGGTGGGACGATTTCGATAGATAGCAACCTCAACGGTGGTGAGACCTGTGTGCGTGATGGCAACTGTTATTATTTGCGATATAATTGCCAATTGCATTACTGCAATATAATTATAAATTATGTGACAAATAATTTGACTTAATCGGCTGCGATCGTGATTTAAGGTTTGGGTTAGGTTTGTATTAAGTGTATTGAGTTATTATAGAGACTGTTGATTTCTAAAATCATAGATTGAATTTTTTTATGATAACGTATAATGCAATTTTAAATATTGTAGAAGACGTACAATTTAAATTTTGATGGATATTTCAAAACATATGATTTGACAAAATGCAATAGATCTATTCTGTCTTCTTTTTTTATTTATATAAATATCGGGGCCATTCTCAATATATTTCAATAAATATGGAATCCTGTTGTAAGTATTGATTATCGTTTCCAATGAAAAACGAATCGATGAATTCGTAAAACACGAATAGAGCTCTCTCTGATAACATATAAATACATAAAATGTAATAATTTTGAATAATTATTGATTATTTGATAATGATTAAATAATTAATGAACAATTTTAAATTAATTACGTCTAATCTCGTGTTTTGGAGTCTGGATATACGATTAAACATTTTGCTTGTATCATTTTACTTGGTATAATCACAAACGAACTTCGCATTTCAGTATTGAAAGTTTGACAACACTGTAATGGGTCTCAAAAATCATATTGCTGGCGTATTTACTAGTTTCCCAACTCACTGTTGTTTAAACGTAGAGTGCGTTAAAAAAAAACCAGTGATTTTTTTGTATTTCGGTATTTCAGATCACGGGCCACGAAAGTCGGTAAGATGCAATCTCTATTCATCCCACTTCGTCATCTTCATCCCAACGATCGACACTCGGCACGAATCCTCGAATTACCGGGGGAGGATGCCGGGATCTGTGTCGTTCTTGCGCGTCTAGAACGTAACATTACAGGATCGTCGCAGCTCGGGGGGCATTCCTTAAGTCTGTGCAACGCGGTGGACGTGGTACGGTTTCAGCCAGAGGATGGAATTCCGATCGTAGGTGGTGTGCCTCCGAACGAGAAAGAAAACAGTCTCTGTCCTCGGGGACCGACGGGCCGCGCTTATCCATTGGCGCCCCGGCAATTAGGGTGCCTGGCCCGCGGTGAGGATTTCGAGGATATTTGTGAACCGCGGACCGACACAGGCGAGTTCGTCGAATCGACGAATGCCGCCGCCCAAGAATCTCGTGGGTGAGTTCCAGCCTCGGGAACGCTTGTCCTCCGGCATTTTCGAAGACCTCGCCCTGATTCACGAGTATTAGGACACCAGCTGGTCTCGTATCAACTATCGTAATTGACACTGCCCCAAATCAATGGGCGAATGGGCGATTGTTGTGAACTCTGTGATCTTGTTCGACTTAAAAAGTATAATAAGTAACAAGTGGACTGCGAATATTTTTGTGCGTTTGTGGGAAATTTGAAGATGCAAAAATACGTAAAACACATGTAATGCGCAAAAATATTTGAAATAAATAGCAGATGGTTATATTTAATATAAATTATTGAGCGATCGATTGGTTTGAATTTTGTGGTCGAAATGTATCATAAGTATCATAAGTAAACTTGTGCATTCATAGGAAATTAGAAGATGCAAATATACATATATCAAATCAATTCTTCTCTTCGTCAGAGTATGGATTCTCTTCTTCATACTTGAAATCAGCAAGAAGATAATTCTTTAAAAGATTTCAATAATTTTCAGATTTCGTTCATCTTTTAACACTACTGTTTTAATATAATTGCCAGGGACGTTATCATCGTTTTCATTAAATTTTTAAGGCAAATACATTCAACCTATTTCGTTTACCTCCCATAAAGTTGGCTCGTTTTAATTTCTCGATAGAATGCGAATTTCATTCTCGCGAAATTGCTGGTTCCACAACTTGACGACATAATGAGGGTTAAATGAAATGAAGTTTCGTAAACTAGAGCGTTGGCTCAGAGAATCCTACGGTGTAGCAATGGTTTGACCGCGTAAAACATGCGGGTGGAAGATTACATGATTGCCCAGTGATTATTGTAGATTTTCGGAAAGTCGACGATCCAAATACCTGGCCATCCTCTCGTCACTCGAGCAGGATAATTGGTTTTACTGATTGTGTCTATTACCAGGCTGATGATCGAGTAACTTTCTTGATGTTTCTTTGATCGTGCCGACCAGAGAATTTATTCAGCGAAGCTATTCTTTTGCTTTTAACTATCGGTGACGTGTTTCAAATAGATTTCAAGATTCTCAATTTCTTTTTGTATGTAACAGAAGATAGTAACTTGTGAGATTTTCTATAGTAGTTAAAATTTTCTATAGTAGTTTAATTTTCTTTTAACTATCGGTGACGTGTTTCAAACAGATTTCAAGATTCTCAATTTCTTTTTGTATGTAACAGAAGACAGTAATTTGTGAGATTTTCTATAGTAGTTAAAATTTTCTGTAATAGTTTAATTTTCTTTTAACTATCGGTAACGTGTCTCGAACAGATTTCAAGATTCTTAATTTCTTTTTGTATATAACAGAAGATAGTAATTTGTGAGATTGTTTATAGTAGTTTAATCTTCTTTTAACTATTTCTTTTAACTATCGGCGACGTGTTTCAAATAGATTTCAAGATTCTCAATTTCTTTTTGTATGTAACAGAAGATAGTAACTTGTGAGATTTTCTATAGTAGTTAAAATTTTCTATAGTAGTTTAATTTTCTTTTAACTATCGGTGACGTGTTTCAAACAGATTTCAAGATTCTTAATTTCTTTTTGTGTATAACAGAAGATAGTAATTTGTGAGATTGTTTATAGTAGTTTAATCTTCTTTTAACTATTTCTTTTAACTATCGGCGACGTGTTTCAAATAGATTTCAAGATTCTCAATTTCTTTTTGTATGTAACAGAAGATAGTAACTTGTGAGATTTTCTATAGTAGTTAAAATTTTCTATAGTAGTTTAATTTTCTTTTAACTATCGGTGACGTGTTTCAAACAGATTTCAAGATTCTTAATTTCTTTTTGTGTATAACAGAAGATAGTAATTTGTGAGATTGTTTATAGTAGTTTAATCTTCTTTTAACTATTTCTTTTAACTATCGGCGACGTGTTTCAAATAGATTTCAAGATTCTCAATTTCTTTTCGTATGTAACAGAAGATAGTAACTTGTGAGATTTTCTATAGTAGTTAAAATTTTCTATAGTAGTTTAATTTTCTTTTAACTATCGGTGACGTGTTTCAAACAGATTTCAAGATTCTCAATTTCTTTTTGTATGTAACAGAAGACAGTAATTTGTGAGATTTTCTATGGTAGTTAAAATTTTCTATAGTAGTTTAATCTTCTTTTAAATGTTTTTCACAAGATACCATATCGCAATCGTAGCGAAGTGAAAAGGACATACCGGAGAAATGCTCATCGTTTAATAACGTAAATTTTATTGTTTAAATTAGACGTGACAGTATTATGTCGTATCTACAGGAAAAGTACAAAGTTATAAGTTATGCTATATGTATACCATTATGTATATATATATATATATATATTTATATTATGATACGGTAAATTATCGTACGAGATAGCAAAGAAAATTTTTTTTCACATTTTATTTCAGCGTTTTACGATAGTTTTTTTTTTTTCTCTCGATGGGATGAAGGTATTTCTCGAGGATCGTCGAACGATCGTCGAATGATTTCTAATATCTCGAAACTGGTGGGTAGACAAAGAGAAAGAGTCAAGGATAATGGAAATGGGGGAGAAGTCGAGGGGGTGGACACGAAAAAATATAAAAATAGGTGCGAATCGCCGAAAGCAGTCACGACAGAAGGCACGACAAATTGCTACACGGAAGCAGATGCTCGCACGCATTCTCGCGGACGCTTCGTTTCTTTCCCTTTCCTTCTCCTCTGACCGAGCTCTTCATCGATTAATCGCAAAGAACGCAGCCTACGCGTCACGAATGAAACGAAATGATCGATCGTGAGGCAGCGTCTCGTGCACGGGAACGGAATATCACTTCTGTCACGAAGCACGATAACTTTCTTCTCCTTTCTTCGAATACAGTCGAATCTCTCGTACGTAAGGCTCTCTTTCTCGAATATCTTCACGTATCGTCACTAAAATGGAACGTCTGTTAGGAGCAGATGGATCTTCTAGCTAGCTACTAGTAGCCATTCTGTGTCGAATATTAAGATATTCACTCGAAAAATAGAGGTTCGCGTAAAGGATTTTCTAGTTACCAACAGACATTCCGTCTTGATAATAATATTAAGATATTTATTCGAAATACAGAGGTTTACGTAAAGAAGGCTTCACTGTATTCACTTCTCAGATTGCTTAAAGATAGCGTTCCCGTAACGTTTGCTACTTCTCACAGCATTAGTTCCACTAATCCGTCTCTTGTTTTCTCTTTTGCATTCAGGCATGTGCATATAAAAGATTATCCGGTGCGATTTATAATTGCTAGATGCATGGACGACAGGCATAAAGAGACAGACGATGCTTCTTACTTTGTTAACCCCTAAGTGGTAATCAATGGTAGTCAATAATCATTGAGCTGGTAAAATGGTAGTCAATAATCATTGAACTTTGGTAATTACAACAATTTAGGCTTTACTTACTGTTAAGCTTGAAATTTTCAATTAAATTTAAGTTTAACATCATTACATTCTCTATCGTGAATTATTCAATTCTGCAATTTTTAATGTAATTTCATGTTACTCTTGACTTCTGTCACAAAGAACGTCAAATCCCAAAGTAGATCGCTTAATTTTGAAATTTTCAATTTGACTCGACTTTGTTACTAATCTCTGTCGAAGACTACGAAAATAGAATACGAAATAAAATGAAATACACAAAAATTCCAATAATCTATCCCAACGATAGTACTTAGGGATTAATCTTCGTCTTGAAACGGAAACGAAAGGTGAGAGACACAATTGTGTGTGGCGCTTGATCAGACGAATAACTCGAAGAAACGTGCGCGTTATATACAAGAAAAAAAAAAACTGCGATTCGTTTCGTCGCCGGTGTCTCGAGCAGCGGCGATGCTTCCTCCCTCTTTTTTTCCCCAAAATTTTCTAGGGCTAATCCGACAGCTTTGGCGATTGCGACAAGCGACAACGTAAACCGTAAAGCTTGCTCGTCCGCCACGCTTATCGTGCTACGTTTATCGCGTCGTAACGGAACCAATCAGTTCCTTCGTTCCGAGTCTTTCCGACACGCTCGGAAAGAATTCTGTTTCTCGTCGTATCGTCTTGGTAAAAAATAGCGATTAATAATGAGCGTACATACGTATATGTTCCTCTTAATATGAAATAGATATCTAATATATTATAATATACGTAACATGCGAATATTTGGCGTGACTTCGGGGGATCGATAAGACAGGGACGACGATATTTTTTTTCTTTTTTTTTTCTTTTTTTTTATGGGAAATAAAACGCTTTGTGAACGATTTAAATAAAAGTAGAAAAAAGAAACATGGACAAACAAGAAAGAAAAGCAAGAAAAAAAAAACGAAGAAAAAATAAAAGACATAAGCAAACGATAATCGATCGATGTTGTACGTAGATTTTACAAATATTATTCATAGGAATATTGCCGCTAAAAAATTTGAAACGCGTTAAAACTTCAAAAGAAATAAATAGTTCGTTCGTGACATTGTCTTTTTTATACTAGAAAGGTTTCATATAATCATACTCAACGATGTGCCCTTCTTTCTCGAAACAAATATATAACGAAGAGGCTTGTTTCGTTCGGGAAGTAAAGGATGCTCCAAACGTTTGAGCGGCAACGTAAATCTAGAAGGTGTTATTCGCAACGAAGAGTACTAAGAGAGAGCATTCAGAATCTAAAACATACGAAGAGCGGATATTGCGCGTGTATCGGGAGCATACGGGTTTCCGTCTCCGGCGGATCATCACTCTTCAATTCTATCACTAAACGTATGTACACCGGGACAAAACACACGACCGCGAAGAAACTCTATGAAAAAGACAGAGAGAGAGAGACAAACGTTATACGATGAGTCTACAAAGAAATACGCTCGCGACGACAGCGTGCGTGTCGTCGCATCGTTTGTTCTCTCTCGTTATAAAATGTTGCTTTCAGAAAGAAGAAAAAAAAAGAAAAGAGAAAACTTTGTGAACGATGTCGTGACTCGACTCGTATTAAGTATCTCCATTGACGAAAGGTCTTCTTGTCGATTCTTCCGCAGTCTTATGATTCCTAACGGACGATTCGCCGTCGTTGATAAACGATTAGATACGCTCGGTGCGTCGTCTCTACGCGAAAATCCACTTTCACTCATTCTCGTTCGAGGCTCTCGAAGCGTGTAACGTTTACTTAATAACGCGCGTTAACAATATTCCTCGGCGTGATTGTAATTGTTTCTCGCACGTGCCGTCGCGCGCTGTGTCTCGATCACGCTCGACCGAGCCCCACTGCAGCGCCTCAAGAAGGTTTAATTGGTCATGGTTGAATTACACTCGAACGCGTGATGAACTTTTCCTTCCTGTTCCAACACCGCTCCGCGTCGATACACGTTCACGATCGCTCGTTCTCGCGTGTCCGGCGACGATCTTTCCACTCATTGTCAGATTTCTTTCGTGGATTAAGAAAAAAAGAAATTTACGTCTCACTGTTAAAAAAAAAAAAAAAAGAAGAAAAAAAATGAAATTCAGTGTCGCTTGATTGCTCTTTCGATTTCGTCTTCGTTATACATAGAGAAAGAAAGAAAGTAATTAATTCGTGGTGTTGATTTAAACAAGGGGGAAGAACGAACGATCGTGATTGAGTATAAGCCTGATCGTTCCTGAAAGTAAGTGTAACGAATGCGTGTTATCGACGTGTTTAGACAGGCGGCAGAGCCCACAGAGTCGCTGTCTTATCAGCGGAAGTACTGAGGAACGAGAACTCCGTCGGATGCCATCGACCGGAAATAACCTTGTCTTGGTGTTGCGCTACTACCACGCTCGGCAAGGGCATCGTTAAATCACCTGCAAAAAGTAAAGATATTACCAACACAATTCAATATGCATCATTTTATTACTAGACTAAATTGTACAGAATGTCTCAGTCTAAATTAAACTACTTCTTTCTTTTTAATAATACTAGAAAATATTTGTAAGTTGCGATGTAAATGAGTATGATATTTCATGATATCCTACGTTTGAAACAAGACATTTCCCAGTCATCATCAAAGAAAATACGTATTTAGGGATCGATTTGTAATTTTTTATGTTTATCCCTTTTAGGGAGTTGAATAATTTTTTCACGAAACATATAAATAAACTCATTGCAGTAGAAGATAAGCAATAGCAAAATACATTAGAGAACAACGTTATACTACTGCTAAAGAACGAATTGAATTTCCACCGATTAAAGAATAATTCCAAAAGAGAAATTATCGACTAAATGTCAATTCCAGAAAATAAATTAAATTTCTGCCAACTTCAATGATAATTCCGGAGAAGCGGTTTCATTTATACCAATTTAGTCACGCATGATCCTACTAAAGCAGCATAAATTTGCCTGTCTATCAAGGTAACATCAATTTACCTTGTAGATCAGTCAGAACGAGTTTGTTGTCATAACCACCGGTGAGCAAGTAGTATGCAGAAGGCGAGAAGCGTATACTTCGGATATCAGCAGCGTGGGGCTTGAAGCATTGCACGGTTCTGCCGCCCCGGATGTCGAAGAGGACGCAGCTGCTGTCCTCGTGACCGGACACCAGAAGACGTCCGGATGGATCGACGCAAAGCGCAGCTACCGGGCTGCCGACCTGCAACGGGATCAAATGCTAATCAGACACGCGATACTGATTCCGTTCCGATCATATTTTAGGGTACGTCCGATAAAAATTCGATCCTGAGATGAAGACTCAGAGAGAGAGTGTGTGTGAACTAGAGAAAGAGAGAAATGCGATTTGTGATGGTGGGGAGGGATGATCGAGTGCGATTCAAAAAAACGTGGGTCGAAATTTTATCGGACGTCGGGCGAAAAAACGTAACTCAAACAACAGAAAAGTCGATGTCGTCGGTGCATGCTGGTTGCGTTATGAATTATAGAAATCCTTTCCGTATTGATTTACGAGTGATCAATTTATTAAATATTTTTAGTCGATAATGTCGATAAATTTGGAGATTAAAAGATATGACATCGATCGTGTCATATTCGTATTGTATTGCCTGGGCGGGAAAGAATTTCTCCAATCAGGACCGATGACAGGAGGAAAGCACTAATTAAGAAATAGATTGACGAATCTGACGGTCGAGTGATACAAAAATATTAAACTGTGGATAGACGGAATAAATGTAGCTGTTTTTTTTTTTTTCATTTCATCGTGCGGTGATCTCGAAATATTCTAAAGTGATTTTTCTTTGCGCGACGAGTACGAGTACTCGTTACATAACATATCAAACAAGTTATCTACGAAACTAAATAGTAAATCGGACGTTCATATTATATATTAAACAATGTATCACTTTGTGTGTTTGTATCGTCAACAGATTGTCTTGCAGAAAATCAGAAATGTTCTCAAAATCAACCGATACCACTCGACAATCAGATTATTCACTAAGCATTCTATAAAAGAACATGACCGCCGTCGAAGAGGAACTGAACTAACCCTGCTACCAGGTACCGTGGCTGGCGTGACCATGTTCACGCAACCTCTCGTTCGAAGATCCCAAAATCTGACAGTCTTGTCCTGTGATCCGCTGACGAACATCGCACCACCCCAATTGTAAAGGGTGAGCACGTGGCCACTGTGACCGCTCAGAGCTTGAAAGGGTGTGCCTGTCGCGCAATCGGTGACATAGATCTTGCAATCGCCGGCACCTCCGCTGATCAACAGACTCGACTTGTTCGAGGTGTCCTCGAGGAAGCACAGATCGCGAACAGTACCGTCGTGCATCGTTAGCTCGACTTCTTGTCCTGAAAGAGACACGATATTATTGGTGTTGCAATCATTGGTGTTAATCAGAGCCCTTAATCGAGAAATATATCTATCGTGATTTCAATTTCAAATTGAATTTAATACATCAGACGTAATACAGAAGTGAAAATGATCTGTATATTTTAAAAGATGTGATATACATACATTATGTTTTTCATAAATTATACTACAAGCATAGGAAATTCGTAAATAAGGAAATTTTTGTATCCTCGAAATTGAAAATCCGCGTGACAAGTTAATTCATCCTCTCGCCGGTGCATCAAAGAGAGAAAGTGTTTCGAGATGATAGTTTTTTTTTTTTTTTATTACGCAACAGTTATCACACTTTACGAGAGAGTAACAAGTAGGAAGTTGAAATTAAATGACAGACACATTAAGAGTAGTTCCTGAGAGGAATTGATGTAACAACTGTGAAAGTTCTGACAAATGTTTAAAAGAATAAGACAAAGTAACAAGCTTAAGTAATCTGAGCAAAAATTTACCTTCGAGATTTGATGTATCGGCATTGAAGCGCATCAGTTTGACAGTCTTGTCGTTGCTTCCGGTCGCCATCAGCTGTCCATCCGGTGTCCACGCCAGGCAATATATCGAACCCTTGTGATGTTTCGTTCTCTTGAAGAGAACGGTGGGCTGATACGTCTGATGATCCTCTCTGAAGAAACAAATTCATTCGAGCGTCAATAATCGTTTCTCATTGTTTTTCATCGCACAACTGGAATACGTTTGTTCCGTTTCATCGCGCAAGTATCGCCAAAACAACCAGAGAGAATCATCTAGCCTACAAATCGTTTCACTCTTGTTTACTGGTTTTTCATCCAACTTTCCATCTCGACGTCATAAATATCAACTGTCTTGGTTATTAAACGATCGATCTACACTTCGATTTAAATGCTTGATATAAAATTGTGTTTCACTATAAATTCCTTACTATTGGGTTATAAATTTCAGTATTCTGATGCATTAAGGATCAAGCAATGATTTATCATTATATTTGAATATATTTATATATATTTATATATTTATATTACATTACACCATAATAAATATATTAAATTTTAATTTGAAAGATTCTAATGGTGAAACAGACAATCTGCCAATCGTATGAAAAACAGCTGAAAAGATGATCAGCAACGTTGGACTTAAAGATTTCAATTGGACCTTGTATTCGCAAAAGCTATAAACGTTGAAACTTTTCTCAAGGCTATCTCACACGTGCAACTGCCTAGTGATCAAAATAATCATCGACATCGTTTTATCCAGCAACGGTACGAGATTCTCATGCGTCACTTTCCTTCAACCTCGTTTTCCTTCTGGTTCCCAGCCCCGGCTGCGATTGCGCACCGTTCTTAATTAAACGGAGCGACGCTTAACGCCGTGGATTCGCGTTTCGGTCGTGGAAACGAGGGAGTGGATCGTCGATGCGATTTTAAAACAGGAGCGGCGCCGCTTTCACGTCGGCCGCCTTTTTACGTTCGATTTTAATTAGCAGACGTGTTCTTCTTCTTTTTCTTTTTTCCTAGTACGTCCGATCGTCGATCGAACCTCGATCCTCGGCGCGTCTCCTTCTTCTCCCCATTCTCGTCTCTCTCTGTTTCACTTTCTTCGCGTGGAAACGCGAGAATCGCGTGCTCGAAATTGCCGACAGACCGGCAATCACACCCGGAGGAATCGAACCGAAGATTCTCGATTGCTCCGTTACGATCGTGCACGCGTCACTTTCTCCGCGAGGATGAAACTTCTGCGCAACGTCGATACTACGCGGTTCAATCGGTGAATTCGAAGAAGCAACTTGTGGAAATCGCGGGCTTCCTTTTTGTGAAACTGGAACGCCCGTTGGTATAAAATATGTATGATAGCTGTGTGTTTTTCTCGGGACATTTTTTAGCCTCCATATTGACGAGGAAAACGTGAGCTACTTCTTAGTCGGCAAAAAGAAGCGAGAAATGAAAAGTGAAAATTTCACGGTTTCGTGAACGAAAGCTGGGTGATGTCTCAATTGGAATGGCGAAAGACTTATGAGCGTAGATTGCAGGGGGGAGTAATTGTTTCAATTGCACGAAAATCCGCAGTTCACCAGTGTCAGAAAGAATTGTCACGGATAATTCTGTTACGGAACACACCGCGACGAACGAAGAGGCACGCTGTCGCTTATCAATCAACCGCTGTCAAGACGTCCGAGACGTTCATTACGTTCCAGATAGCCAATTTACACGTAGAGACAGAGTGAAACGGTTGTTCGTTATCAGAAACACGGATATCTTGACGGATGGATCGAAAATGACAGATACGTCGAAGATTCTCTACACGTTTTACTGTCCTTTTCTTTGTCAACTCGAGTCTCGCGTTGATTGCCTCTCGTCGAATTCCGCGTGAATTCTAAAGACGTGGAAGAAAGTGGCTGAGTAATCGAGGAATTGGTGTTTCGAGGAAAGTTTCGGGGTATAGATCGAAAGGCTTTGGAAGAACGATTTCGAGGAAGAGAAGTTGGAGAAAGGTTCTGTTGTTTCCTGCCGTGCTCGAGGAAACTGTGTGTTTTTAACGATACGATTTTTGATTGGCTTGTCGAATTAATGATAATAAGGAAGAAGTTCGTCGTAAATCGAATTTACGAGTAATTGAAGATGCAACTGATTTATTTTATAATGTAGTGTGTTATGAAAGTGCAATGTTGAAACTGCATATGAATAGAATTAAGATTATAGAAAATTATACGCATCACGCAGAGAAGGATAATCCTGCAAGCAAATTTTTAGGCAAAATTGCGAATTACAGGAGATTAGAGAAGGAAAGAGTAATCTTTAAGTTCGGTGTAGAGTTCAATTATATTAATTATAGAAACTTACATATTACAGAAGAGAATGGTTCCACGTTGCAACTTTTAGACTGGATATAAACAGAACTCGGTACGTGTTACGCAAACTGTTTAGAATTGTACATGTTTTTCTAAATGTATTTTGAATATTGTAAAGATATTTATAAATTAACTTCACACATGAATAATTTTGTAAAATTACAATTTCTATTCAATGATTAGCAAAAATAACATTAATACTTTCTTTTCATCCGATATTTCTCATAATGTTTGAAATTTAAGATTCCTTCTCCCCGATCTGAGAAATTCGTTTAACTAACCTGTTTTTCTTACAACTTTCAAGAGTAATATACTTGAACTATTATATTATAAACTAATCCAATTTCTTGTAATTAGAGTAATAAATTCGTTTATAAGATTTATTCGTTTAAAGCAGAAATAACATATCTATTTATTATATAAAAAGTTGCTTACCTTGACGAGGTTTTTGCAAGTTATTGAAAGAATGAAATGAAACTGAAAGGAGGTGAACATTTGAGAAACCTGAAAATCCAGAACGGTGAAATTTTCGCTTGTACTCGAATGAAAAACTTTATGAAATAATTAAAAACATTACCGAGAAAATTTTATCCCTAGTCTAATTTACCAAGCAATTAGTTCTATTCTATAAAAAACATTGAACGGTTGTTGCCAGCAATATTAATTTTCATTAGCAGATCGTTATGATTATCGAATATACTTTCTAACCTAGAAACCTTCTCGAAGGTAACTGCAAGATCTTTCAGAAACACGGTTTTTCTATCATCGGATAAATACAGCTACTTTTACTTTTCGCTGGAATAAATTTATTAATAAAGTGCAGTAATAAAGTTTACGCAAAGCTGGGAATAATTTCAAAATAGGAATTAGATAGAGACTTTTATCTATTGCGATGGGTACCGTACTCTTTTTAGAATACCTACCGGAAATTATAACAATTTAAGATTGGATTTCTTAATTTTGAAATTTCCAGTTAATTTTATTTTATTATTATTATCTTTGTCAGAAAAAACCAAATACAAAAAATAATAAATTGCCATTAAAAATATGTTCTTGATATAATTTAGATAAAAAAATTTGGTGCATTGTCAAACGGTCGTTTTATGTGTCACGAACGAGGAACTGAAATCATAGTCAGCGAGCCGTGTCATCAACTGGAATGATAAAATACACGGTTCTGCTCTGAAATTTCGATTGAAGTTCATTCAAAGATGGGCAGTGGGAGAGAGAAGGAGAGATTGAATCGCGAAATCGCGAAATAGCGAACAATAAAAGAATCGCATGAAGGATCGAGGGATGCTCCGTTTGGTATGAAGGCCTCCGTCGTTCGTTAAGTCAGCAGGCTTGCGTTAAATTAGCCCGCTCAACGACGACTCGTGCACAATTCTATAAATATAGCGTTGTAAAGGACTGTGATGATGCTGCGTCAATTTCTTCTTCTCCATGCGGAGAAAATTTGCAAATTTAGTGCATCGTCTAAAGATAATTCTAAGAAATATCAAAAAATATTAACTCATGAAGGACCAAATATATAATAGTTGAGTTACAATGCAATATTACACAAATTTAATCTAACATCATTATTATAAAATATAATAAAATAATATTATCTTTTATAATAGTAATATAATATATAATAATTTGTAATAATAATATTTTTAATAATTCCATTTTTAATTTCAGAATATTATAACTTAGATGGACGACAATGGTGACGAAAAATATCAAGCAAACTCTTAAAATTTCTTATCATATTAGATTAATTCTAATTTAGAATAAATAATATTTTTATTATATTTATTGTATCCAATCTTAATAACAGTAAATAAATCTTCAATTAAACTAAAAAATTAAAATAAAATAGAAATGTAATTTTCTTAAAACTAAAAAGGATAAAATACAGGCAATGCTTCTGAAATGTATTTTTGCATTGCAAAACATTGTATTGCAATAAATAATTTAGATTCATAGTTGTCAAATGTAAATTCGATTGAATACAAATCGATGATCGAGATGTGTTTCGTTTACTTACTAATCGTTCCAGTGTTGTGCGAAAAGCGCAACGATAATTTTATCAACAATCCGCAATTTACGATGATTCCAGATATTCTAGCAACATAAATCACTTGTGCCCTTCACTCCCGTTTCGTTTCTTCTTCACGCGAGCAAATGTAAATTTCGAAAGATTTCTCTTTGCGACATCCCATTTCGAAATACGACGTGCAGAGTCCAGTTTGATGAATCGTCGAGATAAAAGTATAAAAGTCTACTAATTGTTCATTCCAATGCGTTTCTGTTTTTTTCGAGCCTACTTTCTCGATTTTATATTACGCATGTACAAGAAAGAAGTATTTTATATAAAATATGAGACTGGACGCAAGAAAGTGCGATAATGGTAGGTACAAAGTTGCAAATAAATGGCGATAGAAAAAGTACTCGTTCTTGATGAATGATGTTGTCGAGAGGAAGACATATATTTAAAAAAAGATCAAATGCGTTGTGAAAAGTTAAATCGTCAAATTAACCATTCGTAAATAAGAAAGAAATTGATAAAAAAAAGTCACATAAGAATATATTCTACAAAATATTACACATATATTTCTCAGAGTACTACGATTTGAAATGATTCAATCCTGCGTTAGGAAAATATTAAAATTATCAGAGAGGTATTTTAATATATAGAATGAAAATAACGTCTTTCAAGCTTGCAAATAATTTTTCGTTCTTCCTGAAGAACTTTCTCAAATTGTATTATTTTTAAAATACGTATGCAACACGGATTAATCTAAAAAAAAAAAAAAAAAAAAAAATACTAACTATTCTACAAAATTTCCAACGAAAAAGAAACATAAAAAACGATAAATAGCTCAAAATTATTTCATTTCACTAATTCATAAAATACGAATAAAAAAACGAAGAGGAAAAAGCGTGAAATTTACAAGGATCTGAGAGACAAGAGAGAGAAAAATCATTATCTCACCTGACATCGTGAAGCTTTGGATATGAGCATATTCTCAGCGTCTTCGAGTTCGATCCCACGGCGTACAACTTTCCATGGGGGTGGAATTCCGCGCAACGAACCGCTTGCACGTCCTCGAGCGCCGTCACAGGCACGAATCTCGGTCTACCGCCATTGTTGCTCCCGTTGCTGGCATCGAGCTCCTGCCTCGGCTCTTGCTGAAACACAAAATTCAGAGCCAGTTATGAATTACGTCGCCGGTATGACGTTTTCTAGCCAATTAACCTTGTGATGCAATAAAGAAAAGTATCGATAAGATCTATAATAGGGCTCGAGCCGTGGTAAACGCCAATGAAAGAGAATTCGTGTCGGAATTTTTAACGAGTTAACTGTAATTGTCCGTTGAAGTATCGTTGCGGTATAATAAGGAAATTTATCATTATATTCGAGTTTGTGCAACGACTAATAGTGAATTGACATTGTGAATTGAAATTGCAAAACTTGTGAAAACGAAATTGCAGAATATACCTTAACATCAGTTCAAACAACGTTACATGCTATTTATAAATATCTTTTTACCATCTTTATACTAATTTAAATAATATTATTTTATACACAATATCTGTAAAATAAATTTATAGATACATCTACGTTGAATAAGTTGCTAATAAAATTTATATATGTATTTCGTGTGTACGTATACATATTTTTAGCGCATATTTACATATTTCGAGAACATAAATTTCATATTCTTTGTGCGTAAACATTAACAATTTAGTAATTACAGCGAAATTATAATGAAATTTCGTGCTGTTTATTGGAAGGAAATAGCGTTTGGCTGGATCTACTTTCAGTGGCTCATGAAAATATTCGAACATTTATTGCAGAAGAACCTTTTTATATACACATATATGTGCGTGTTATATTAAAATATTCGAAATTTCACACTGTAACACGAGACATCGGTAAGTTACAAGATATTCATTGAAAACATATACTCAACAAAAAAGAAAAGAAATAATAATGTAATAAATAACCTTAAACATATAAAATTAATTAACTTAATTATCTTAAACGTATAAAAGTAGTTTCACTGTATATTGAAGTGCAATGGTAAAATGGATTACACAATTTCTGTAATCTCTGCAAAACATATAGCTTATAAATGTAAGTACATCATAAAGTGTTCGAACATTCTGGTGAACATCTACAGGTAGTATATATTAAATTATCACACAGAGGCAAACATTCCAACCGGCATTAAAACGTTAAATTTCACCGATATCATGGATTTATAAATTAAACTTAGCACATTTCTGTCGTAGATTGTATCTGTCGTAGTTAGGTAGGCGGTTTTCATCCGTGGCAAACCTAATCCGATACTTGAATGTCTGCTTATTTTAATTCTGCTTATTCGTTGGAAAAGCTAGATATTCTATGTGACACGTCAGTATGTCAAATCTACGACGACATTGCTTGCAACGTTCGTCACCACGCAGATTTGTTAAATTTCCACCTGGAAAACGGGTAATATAACCGCGTTAAAATTTCGAAACGAGATCAACTTTGGCTCCTTTCGTGAACGCAGCTCAATAGTCACCGTTTAAGGGCATTTTTCTAGAGGAACCAGTTCGTTGGCGTCAGAACGAGCGCCGTGCAAGTAGGCAACGTAACGAGCGACGAAAACTCCCGGAGAATTAGAAAGTCAGACCTTGAAAGGATTTCTAACGCCTCTCTTTTCTACACAATCACCGTGTTTGCTTGTATGCTAATCCCTGCCGAGGTTTCCTGCTTCAGGCGTTTTAGTTAAATATCCATTCATGGTGCACTCTGCACCGTGCAATCTTCCTTTCCTCTTCCACCGTGACGAGTTATTTTATTATTACTGCCGTTGGTATTATTATATCATCTGTGACGAATTTTCGATTGATCAGAACACGTTTCATTATTATCACTGTTAAGTACCATTACCTGTGACGAATTTTCGCTCGATCATAACCTATTTTATTATTATCACTGTTAGCATCACTATATTACCTGTGACGAATTTTCGCTTGGTCATAATACATTTTATTATTATTACTGTTAGTATTGTTTTATTATCTCTGAAGAATTTTATTACCTGTGATCACGATATATTTTATTGTTATTAGTATCATTATATTATCTGTGACGAATTTTCGTTTAATCACAGTACATTTCACTATTATTGGTATAACAGTACGTATTTGATGGATGAGTGGTTTTCTAACTTATTCGTACGAAGTGTTAGTAAGAGATAATTACTAGATTAGTGAATATTTATGGAAAATATAAAATGCTCATAATGTGTAGAAATACATAAAATATATGGTCCAAAGTAAAGCGCTCGTTATATCGTTTAACGGGTGAAACGAATCGCTATTTAGATTCATTTTTCTAGTCAGATCTAATAAAGAACTTACTATAATATTTGGTACGTGAAACAAGTTCTATTTTTTTTTTTTTTTAGCCGCGTTTAAATTGAAAATTTTCAGGTTTTTACAAACACTAGTAAAATAATGATATTCATATAAAAATTTACCAAATTTATCAAATTTCTGTTTGTTAATTTAAATTTACCAAATATCATAATAGGTATTCTTTTTCAAATATTTTACACTGTTTATTTTATAGATTATTGCATCCTTAAATTCAATGGACAAACATCAACAGTCTAGCGATGTAAAATGTGTAAAATATAGACAGTAAACTACTCACTATAATACCTAATATTATAGATGAAGAATTTTTACATGAGTTTCATTTTTTCTGTTTTTTTTTTTTTTTATACGAATTTACGCAAACATCGACAGTCTAGCAATTATCAATTTCCTCGTTCAAACAGTGACGTTATGCAGACAATGATTCAGCCTCGAGAAATCAAGGAAAGAAAATGGACAAAGGAAACGTTCATAGCTTCTAAGCAGAATAAGGATCTTTCAAGTATCGCGTAACTTCTTTCTGCATATTATTTCCATGCAGTTCGTTAAATCCTCATGTTCTTAATTGATCTTTGCTTTGATTCACAACGCCATGGAATGATAATCAGTCTGCTCTGACGTGGTAAAATTGCGAAAAAAGTTTGTTCGAAGAACGTTCGGGAATAGAGAAAAATTCCACGATAAATTTCAAATTTTCTTTAAGTTTTTTTCCTGCCAAGTAAACAATTATATGGTATGGTTTTGCGAGCACTTCTTGCACAATGATTCGCGCGCGTTGCCACGCTTTTACTTTCGACTGCCAACAGTTCTTCGTGATTATTGAGATAAGGACAATTAGCAAAGCAAATGAGGAGCTCCATTTTACGTTGTTACATGGTCTGATTTTTCGTCAATGTTTTGCTCGTGGAGGAAGAAATTACGATTATTCAGAATTTTTTACTTGGATTTCGAAGATATTAGTAACCAGACTCCTTGCTATGATATAACAATACTATAATAATTAATACATAAAATATATAAATAAATAAAAAGAAATGTATCTTTCATTTTAAGTGACGTTACAGAGATTCGACAAAGCGTGTAAAGCATAATGCAAAAATTTTAATAAGATGTGTATTAAGTCCCAAGTTAGATTATATATAACTGTTCGATCACTAAAATATTAGCATAGAACATTAGTAGTTACAATTTTATTTTATGTTGTATAAGTTATACTCTCTGTGACTTAAATTAAAAGTTAAATAACACAGCCTTAAATTGCGAACCAGTTGGGAATTCATTTATTCATAAATTTCTTTCTACCCTTTTAGAAATATCAGCTACAACATTTAATCGATTTAATAAATGTTACGTTGTTCTCTGTTCTATTTTCTAAACTATTCATTGAAACTTCAGATCGCTACCGTGAAAGCAAACAACTGTTTGCTTTCGTAACCACGAAGGAAAAGAAAATTTTTCGAGTGGACAAGGTTTAGGAGTTACCGATCGAGACGACACTATGATTGACGCAACGACGATCATTTTCTCGAGCACCGCGATCATAGACTCTACACGCGGTTAATAATTTTATTGCACAACAAGGCAGACGTTCGATTTCCCGCGACAGTGGTAATTTAAATGTCCTGTTCGGCTGACATTGCGAACCTTTCGAATGATTTCTATTTGCGTTAAATTTCTAGAGATCGGCTCTTTCATTGTACGAAAGAACAGAGACTATGTTCAAAGATAATTTACAATTCTTCGTTCCTTTTAGGATTGTTCGAAATTAGCTTTTTAGAAGCGTTGTATAAGCAACTTCGTTGTAACATCGTTTTTTATCGCTCGGAAAATCGAGGCGAAAATGATTGCAAAATCGAGGGCCGAGGCGAAAAACCAAAAAAAAGAAAAAAATTCGAAAGATCTAGGACGAGACAAGTATGGAACGATCCCCAGGATCGCGAGTCAGAAACGCTCGCTGCTTAGTCACGAACAACACTTACAATTAGTTTCTCCATCGTTGTTCACCACACTGTGTCATTCACACGGGGGGGGGGGGGGGGGGAAACGATTTAATAGAAATCGACTGCATCATAAACAGAAACGAACGATTAATTTCTCCTCTCTTACGCGATAAATTACGCGTTTTAAGTTCATGTTAGCTATGGATGTTTGACGAGTATATTCGTTATGCGAAGAGGGACATTACCTTTATTAAAATTTTAATGAAAGCTAAAAAATATCGAAGAAATTTACTTGATCGGCTACGGTACGTAAAATTTAATTGCTTGATATCATTTAAAATATTATATTCGTGTAATTACTCAGTAATTGCGTTCGACGATATTTCTTTAATAGTTTTTGTGGTTCATGGGATAAAAACGGAAATGGGTAATAAATTTCTAATTTGTCACTTCTTGCTACGTAAATGCTTAATTTTTCTTTTTTAAATTAGACTACGAATGTTTAAATTTTACCTGCATAATTAATACGATAGATTAAAGTAACTAGATAGTCTTCTCTAACGAGAAATGAAATATGTAGATTAATATTATACGAAGATAATATAATGCATCATACATTCGTCCTTTCAAATTTTTACGAACGATCATCGTCTGTAACTATCAATAAATTCTTATGCTAAGCAATTTCTTTAGTACTTTGTAAAGTATCTACTTTATCTAGTTTTCTTGCTTTCATCTAAATTCTTCGAACGTTGCAGAGAATTCGGAGAAAAATTCGCGTTGAAACGAAGAACAAACGATCTACGATGGAGAACG